GCTGGAATTAAAGGTATGTGCCACTAACACCTGGCTGGCTAGCTTTCTCTTAATTATTAACCCATATCTATTAATCTGTGTATCTCCATGTGGTCTTGGCTTACTCATGATGCCCGGGTCTCTTGTTTCCTTGGCAGCTACGTGGCATCTCATTGACTCTGCCTACTACCTTTCCTGCCTGGCTAAATCCTGTCTGTCCATTGGCCGAAATGGCTTTATTCATCAACCAATAAGAGAAACATATTCACGGCATACAGAAGGACATCCTCCATCACCTTACTTTCATTAAGTTTTTATAGGAATAAAGCAAAGAAAGTCATAAGCCAAAACACTTCTTTTATCGTTAAGGATTTATTTTTTATTTTATGCATTTGAGTGTTTGCCTGCATATATGTATGTTCACCAAGTGCCTTCCTGGTGCCCACAGACACCAGAAGAGGGCGTAAGATTCCTCTGGGACTGGAGTTACAAGCAGCTGTGAGCCATCACGTGGGTGCTGGAACTAAACCTGGTTCCTCTGCAAGAACAGCAAGTGGTTTTTGTTGTTGTTGTTCTTGTTTTCTGAGACAGTGTTTCTCTGTGTAGCCCTGGCTGTCCTGGAACTCTGTGTAGCCATGGCTGTAGACCATGCTGACTTCCAGATCCACCTGCCCCTGCCTCCCGACATTAAGTGCTCTTAACTGCATAGTGATCTGTCCAACTCCAATACATTTTTGTTTCAATTACGTCAGTGGAAACATCAGAGTGACAGAATACAGCAAAGCTGGGAATCCTCTCCTAATGGTTTCAAATGCTATCTGAAATCACCCTGTGCTTTTGGGTTGAGCAAGCCAGTTGCCAGTTAAGCTAATATATCTTAAAACCACCTCACCTGATAGTCACAAGAATGTTAGATCAGGTAGAGAGGGAGGAAAGGAATGGCAAAAAAAAAAAAAAAAAAAAAAAAAAAAAAAAAAAGGAGGCCTAAGGATAGCCCAAGGTAAATTTTAATTAATCTTTGGCCTGCAACATTCCCTCCTCACCACAAACCTAGAAGGTTCTAAAGAGTTGATCAGCCTAGCAGAAGGTTCAGGGTGAGATGCTTGGAAACTTCTGGTCCTGTTGACTCTTTGAATTGCCTTTTAGAAGGAAGGAGTGGGGAGGGCCATTGGACCCTTACCTGAGATTCCAGCCATTCCTTCCACAGAACTATGCTCTAATTATGTATAGCCTGGAGGTGTTGTCTAAGGACATGTTAGAGTATATAAACTGGGGAGAATTAACTGAAGAAGTTCAGTCCATGTGGCCATGTGGAAGCCATCATCCATGCTGGACAAAGCCATTCTGGGGCAGCTGCTTTGCGATCACCCATGCTCCATAGGTAAGCCCAAAACACTAACTGCTTCCCCCAAGGACGCCTTTGATGGAATCATACTTTGGTTGGTCATTGGGATATTCTTTTTTTTAGATTTATGTGTATGAAAGTTTTGTATGTATGTACATCTATGTACCAAATGCATGTGGGAAACGAACCTGGGTCCTTTGCAAGAACAAGTTCTTGCTCTTACCCACTGAACCAACTTTCCAGCCCTGCCATTGGGATCTTATGAAAAGTGAGGAGATGTTGTTTATGTCTCCCTAGGGAAACGATTCTTTTTGTTTTGCTATGTTTGAGACAAGGTCTCACTATGTAGTCCAACAGGCTTGGAGCTCGCTATGTAGACCAGGCTAGCCTCAAAGTCATAGAACTCTGCCTGCCTCTGCCTTTGCCTCCTAAGTGCTGGGATTTAAACACATGGGCCACTATGCCTGGCAATAATTCTTGCAATGAAGAGGGACCATGGTCACCACTGTCAGCCATGGCCATGCCATCTTGAATTTTTTTCTCCATTTTGGTGAATTAATAATAGTATCCAAAACTACATTAATGAGTGTTAATCCAGGCTTGTTCTCCTAGATTCCTCTCAGTACCTCTGCAACGAACAGAATAACTGGTCATAAGAGATGTTTATGACCACCTGACATTCTGGTTTTTTGTTGTTGTTTTTTTTTTAAACCAGGGTCTCACTGTGCATCCTTGAATCTGGAGCTCACTAGATAGAGCCAACTGGCCTGGAACTCACAGAGCGCTACTGTATGCTTCTGCCTCCCAAGTGTAGGGGTTAAAGGTGTGTGCCACCCTTTACTCTTTCTCCTTACTAGTCAACACTGCACTCCCGGCATCGGAAGCTTTTGGTTCCCATCCCTTCCTCCGACCCCCATCCCTCCATAACTATCTCTACTCTGTAATCAGGAGCACTCTGGCTTTCCCATCTAGAGACCTCGGCTGTAGAAGTTGCTTATTTCCTCTGACCTAAGGTGGCTCCTACAGGGAGTTGGGGTTAGGGCATCTGATATTAGAAGCTTCAAAGACTGGAAACTGACTCTCACACCTCTCAGATCCCAACCCATTCTGTGCCTGCCACTTTGCCCCTGCGGCCCATGTGAGGAGAAAAGACACCCCAAAACAGATTGCATTTAGCTCTAGCTGCCCAGAGCTCTCTTCTTTCTATATCAGGTCCCAGTAATCGATTTGAGCCTGGACTCCAGCTTGGCAAGCTCTCCGGGATTGATTGCTACTGACTGGGATCAGGGGTGATTGCCCCCATCCATCACCCTCAGTGGATCCTAGGTAATCTGTGATTGTATCTTGTTTGATGGATGGTGGGGGCTGATTATTCAGTTTCACCAGAATTGTCTGGACCCCAACATGAGTTCCCTCCCCCTCCTAAGGGAGAGGAGGACATGCCTATGAAATCTAAGCAACCCAGACCAGTACCGCAGACTGTTTGGGCATTCCTTTCCCCATTCCTTCCTGGTCACTCCTGGTTGCCCAATTCCTCTCTTGGGAGGTGGCATTCTAGGTGAGTTCTATGACACCTCTGTCATTCGTTCACAAAGCCTCTGCAGGGCAGCCTCCTTCCTGTTCCTTTGTCCCCCAGACTCAACCCTTCCTGAGGACTCCCTTAGCATTGTCCTATTCTTACACCCCCCCCATTCATCCTCAGATCAGGGCGACTTCCCCCACCATTGCTGTCCGATATGCTCCTAATTTAAGAAGGACCTTTCTACTGGGCCATGGTGGCGCACACCTTTAATCCTGGCTCTTGGGAGGCAGAGGCAGTCAGATCTCTGCGAGTTTGAGGCCAGCCTGGTCTATAGACCGAGTTCCAAGTCAGCCAAAGATACACAGAGAAATCCTGTTTTGAGAAACTAAAAAGCAAAATAAAACACCTTTCTGCCTTTATTCTTTAGGCTCAGTACCCACTCACTCCAAAGGAACCCAATTTGTGATTATCAGACTCCGGAAAGCCTCTATTTTACACTCCATTAACTTCCCATAGCATCCCATCCTGACAGTCCAAATGCCAGATGTCTCCTACTGCCCAGTCCAAGACTTATGCCTAATTAGTCCTAATTAGTAACTCCTGTCCACCCAATGGTCCCCAGACCTTGTCCTGACTTTCAAAGCCTCAGCCTCACTCTGAGCATCTTCAAATGACCCATCTGTACCACTCTTCTGGCTGACCAGGGATGCTGAGTGTCCACCTCTAAGGCTCAGGTAGCCTCTTCCCAAGTCACATATCTTGGTTTCCTTGTACTCTCCTCTCCCTATGGGGTTCCCCAAAGCTGCAAAGCTCTAAACAGGGGTAGCCATCTCCCCACCCCTCCCCAAGCTAAATGAAACCTTCTTCCTTTTTGGGCCTAGCAGGTTACTTTTGTATCTAAATCGCCATCTTTGGGGTCTTAGTAAGCCAGGCTCTCACAGAGTCTCTGGACCCCCACAACCTCCTCTCAAGAGCCTCTGGATCCCCAGAACTTACTCAGCTCATTCTCTATGCTCAGAGACTTCTCCTGCCTCCGGGCATCCAGACCCCCCCCAACCTCTCTTTGTACCCTCACCCTTAACTCAGCCCTAGGTCTCCTCGGCCAGTGTCATGAAGACTATCTATATAAGTGGTTAGACTTGGTGATCTAGGGCTAGCCTTCTTCCTTGAAAACCCTTGGGGCACCCCCCTTTTAACAACATTATACCCATCTATTACTGTCTCCCACTCCCACAATCTCCTTGAGCTGCCCCCTCTCTCTCTTACATTTAACAGATATATACACTGTTGCTTGTCTGTTTTATTTAATCTGTTTTTGGTTTTCTGAGGCAGCATTTCTCTGTGTAGCCCTGGCTGCCTTGGAACTTGCCCTGTAGACCACACTGGCCTTGAATTCAGAGATCCACCTGCTTCTGCTTCCTGAGTGCTGGGATTAAAGGCAAACACCCCTGCCCCTGCTTACTACACAGTTTTGTATACAAAACCCTTTAAACACCTTTGAATGCTGTAAAGCTTTTAATCCACCCACTTTTCTCCCTGTAGACAGAGGACCCCCATTCTTTCTCTGATCCGCCTGGCTCCTTGCTACTTTCTAACCCTAACCCTAATCCTAATATCCTATTGCTGAGGCCCCCTAACTGGCATATTGATGGGCACTCTTTAAGGCTGTACCATTGACCACCTTAAAGCCCCCGCCCCCAACATCACCTCAAGGCAGGCAGAGGCCATCACCCTTACAGGGCCCTGACACAGGCACATAATCAAAAGGTTGGTGTCTACACTGAGTCCAAATACACACACCACACCCTCCATTCTCCTGCCTTCATTTGGCAAAAGAGGGACTCTCTTATGTCACAAGAGACACCTATAATTAATTGCAAATTAATCTACAAACTCAACCAGGCCACCATCAGTGGAAATCCACAGTAGCTACAAGGTAGCCCAAGGCCACGCTCAGAGGTTGTGACAGAAGCCAAGGTGAAGGAAATCTGTCACTGGCTACATCTAAGTTCAAAACTGACTCCAGGCCCTGCTTCTAAGGCTTCTAACCCTCCTGGGGACCCTCCCCTGTTTGTGTCTCTGTTCTCACAGATCTGACTTCCATAAGTAAAACCGGCCCAACCTGGAGATTCCCTGACTTCAGTCACTCCTACACTAAGTGGCAGACGGACTGGACGTAAGAATTCTCAGGACCACGTCCCTGTGCCCTCCACCACCGCCAGCCACCCGCGAAGAGCCATGATGCGCCCTTGGGTTCTCTGTCTCCTCCTCTTTTCTCACTCCTCTGCCCATTCTGAGAGCTGGATGCCCCTCATAAACCTCACTCACCGCTTACTCAAGGACACTAACTCCTCCTTCTCTTCCAACTGCTGGGTCTGTTTGTCCATCCAAACCCAGCGCTCTCTAGCCGTCCCAGCCCCACTAACGGCTTGGACAGACTCACCCATGAAACTTCATATCGCATACTCCACCCGGACCCTCTCCGGCCCTTATCCTATTTCTGACCTCGAGAGACGCCTCCAGAATTTCCAACCACTAACTGCATATTACTCATTTGTCAATCCTGACCGACGGGCCATTGCCCTTCTTCAGCTTACTAGCTTAACAGGCATACTTCCGATACTTTCTCGAATCACCTCTGCGAGATATACTAATGACCACATCTATGAATCCACCCAGCGGCCCATATGGGGGCCACTCTCTTCCCAGACCCTCCTCTCCTCCCAGGCTCCTCTCTGTATATCCCGTTTCTTCAAGAATTCAAAATATGCCACCTTCGTGGGTAACCTCTCTGCTTCTCTTTGCAACTACACCTTTCGTCTTTCCCCCTCTGCCAAACACCGATCCATAGATCTGTCCACCAGCTATGCATTTGCCGAACTAATGACCATGCCAGGCTCTAAGTGGAGAAATCCCTTACGATTTTCAGGACCCCCTTCCCTAATCTCAGGGCAGCCTTACTACTCTTGCCTGGTAGATGACATCCATTGTCACACCTACCCAACCACGCCCTGGAGGCAGTGTCCTTCCTTCCCATCTAGCACCTGCTATAATCTTACTCTATTTGAACCAGACAACATAACTCACCCCATCACCCTGTCTGTGGACACCACATACTTCAAGATTAAACTCCAGGGACATAAAGATCCCTATCCACTCTTTCAGTACCAGCCCCTCATGGGGGCAGCCCTCTCTGGACAATATTCAGTCTGGGAATATGAACCCACTGTCCAGGAAAATGGGTTTATCACACCAAACATCTTCTCACATCTTCTCTCCTTAACATATTCCTTTTGTCTCAACTCCTCTGGAGTCTTCTTCCTCTGCGGGAGCTCGACTTACGTCTGTCTCCCGGCCAATTGGTCGGGTGTCTGTACCCTTGTCTTCCAATACCCAGACATTGAACTCCTTCCCAGTAACCAAACCGTAACTGTCCCCCTTTTCGCTACAATTCCCTCCTCGGTCCCCACTTCTCGCCAGAAGAGAGCCCTTCACCTCCTCCCTCTTCTTGTGGGCCTGGGCGTTACTTCAGCTCTCGGGTTAAGCATCGCTGGCATCACCACCTCAACCATCTATTTCCAACAGCTTTCGAAGGCTCTCTCGGACAGCCTAGACGAAATAGCCACCTCCGTTATCACCCTCCAAGACCAAATAGACTCGTTAGCGGGTGTCGTTCTCCAAAATCGTAGAGCTCTGGACCTCATCACCGCGGAGAAAGGGGGTACCTGCCTCTTCCTCCAGGAAGAGTGCTGCTTCTATGTAAACCAGTCTGGAGTAGTCCGGGATGCAGCAAGGAAACTTCGAGAAAGAGCATCCGAACTCCGCCCGAGCTCCAGCTCTTGGATCCAGGGGCTGGGGCTGGGATACTGGCTGCCCTCCTGGTTGACTTCCTTCATAGGACCCATTCTCTTTATCCTCTTTCTGCTCATTTTCGGACCTTGTCTTCTTAATTGCTTGACTCATTTTGTATCCCAGCGAATGAGTTCTTTCATTCAGAACACTACCAAAGGGCACGTGGACAAGATCCTTCTGCTCCGAGATTCCCAGTACAAGAGACTTCCCCAGCAGCCTCCTGAGGAGGATGCCATCTAGCAGAAAGAGGCTACCTGGCCCCTCTATCTACCAATCTGTAGAAATAAGATCAATGTTGGTCACAACCACACCATTTTGAAACTCTTCTCCCTTTTGTTTAAACGGTGGCAGTTTCCCCCAAACCATAGCAATCAGCATTCTAGGCTTATTTTTCTAGATGCCTGACAGCCCTTGTACCCCTTGGGGATGTTTGCCATCACCCAGCAATCTTCAGTCACTGCTCACGACTCTTCCTCTTTGACTCTTTTCCTTTTCTACTCTTTAATCACTCCTGGCAACAGAGGCTTTTGAGCCCCACCTTCACCCCACCCCAACTCTCTATCTTCCCCTAGTCTGTAAGTGGAGACCTCCTTTCCCACGGCTTTTCTCAGATTAAACCCGTCCTGTTGCAGAAGTTGCTCATTTCCTTGTTTGTCTTTCCTTCCATGAACCTTTCAGCCACCACCGCCCTGGGGGCTTCTGAACCAGGGTAACTTGTTTGGATGCTGGCTCCCCAGTTCTGGGGACAAGGATCAGCCTTGAATATATTCTGCCTCCTGTTGCCGCCAAAGGAACAAAACTGAGACTTTTCTAGAGAGCTAAGTTCACATGATTTACAAGGAACTCTTATTCCCAAAGCAGGCGGTGGTCCTACCTCATGCCACATGTCCTTTCTGTTAGTGGGAGTGTCAGTTCCCGCACTAGCCGGGCAGCCAGCAGGCCTCAGCTGCTGGGGCCTTTACGGCACACCTGCTACCAGGTGCCTTTCCATCATCAGCTATGCAACAAGAGCACCCCTAAAAGGGCCACTATCACAGTCCCCTCTCTTGCTTGTCTTGCCTCTCGTCTCTCTCTTGCCTGTCCTATCTGTCTGCCTCTCTTGTGTCCTCACTCCAGGACAACCTTTGGCTCTTTCACCCCCCCCCCCAATAAACCTTTTACACTAACTGGACGCTCTGTAGGAACCCTTTTGCTGTGTTTCTGTCCTTTCAGGGACTATGTTCTCTACAGGCTCAGGTGTTTGAATATGGAGTCCCCCATTGGCAGTGCTGTTGGGAGATTTAGGGGGTGTGGCCTTGTTGGAAGAGGTGTGCTTTTTGAGGTGAGCTTTGAGAATATAAAGAGCCAGGCCACTTTGAGTTTACTATCTCTGCCTTGTGTTAAGATGTAAGCCTTCAGTTTCTGCTATGTCTACTATTTGTGGCATACCCCCCCACACACACACTCCCATCCCATGACAGACCACTCCGTTATAGTTAGACAAATAATCCCTCCCTTCTATAAGATGCCTTGCTCATGAACTTTTATCACAGCAATAGAAGAACAATAAAGAGGGTGCCCACATGGGTATTTTATCCAACATGTATGAAATGTAGTTCAAGCTAGACCTGAACTCACAGTGATGCTCCTGCCTCAGCTTCTTGAGTACTAGGACCACAGGAATGCATCAGTCACCACACTCAGCTCTAACATTGTTTTTTAGTCAAAATCACAAACTGGTGACATTTCACCGTCTCCAGAGCTGTGTTTTGGGAGGAAATAGAAGGATCTTAATGGTGTGAATTCCCAGAAGGGCTCAACATTCTCAAGAGAGATGTCCCCTTACAGGGCTGGAGAAATTAGGTCCGTGGTTAAGAGTGCTTGCTTCTCTGAGTTCGGTTCCCAGCAACTAAGATTAAGTAGCTACAGCTGCCTGCAACTTGGGCTCCAGGGGATCCTGCTCTCTTTTCTGACTCAAGGGAAACTGCACCCAGGTGCACACACATACACATAATTTAAAAAAAAATCTTTAAACAGTTGACCCCTCAGGCTTGGTACTGTTGAAAGGACAGGGCTGGAGGAAGACCACAGCATAGAGACCCGTCCCTAGGCAAAGAGCTCAGGGAACACTGGGTGTGACAGCGTGCCTGTCATCCCAGCACTAGGGAGGCACAGGCTGCAGAGTTTGAAGTCAGCCTGGGCTATAGAAATGAGACCTTACCTCAAAAAAGCTCAGTCTATTCAGTTTTATTTACAGAAGGAGGTCTCTCAGGAAATCCGGAAGGCTGCAAGGAAAAGCTCCCAGGAGCCCAGCGCCCGTCAGCGGGTAGCAGAGCCCTGCTTTCTTCTCACGATGCCAACTTCCCTTCCCCTGTCAGTTGTACCAACCGGAGGCATAGATGTTCGGCTTCCTCCATGGCAGGAAGAATCCGGAACCAGCCGAGTCCACGTGTCTGGAAGCAGCCCGGTGTTGGCCAGATCCACCGACGTCTCCATGGCGACGCCACACCCACCGATGCTGAGGGCTCAGCTGCAACGCCAGGCTACCTCAGATCCAATGGACAGAGTCAATGAGCCTCATTCAAGCCAGAGTCTCCGTACAGTGGAGTTTGAACTTTAAGTTTCTTTAATGCCTATTGAGAGGAGGAGCCAGAAGGGGAGTGAGGGTGGTGGAGTAAAAACAGAAAACTCCCAGGACTACCCCAACCCCACCCGGAGCCTAGTATAGCTGGAGCACACAGGGTTAATGACATGCTGTATCCACAGTGTTAAATGGGGTTCAAGGACACGAGTTTTCTCATGTTAATCCAAATACCTTGAAAACAGCTTCTAATTTTGGTTGAGAGGTCTTACTATGTAGTCCTTGCTGTCCTGAAACTCACTATGTAGACCAGGCTGGCCTTGAACTTAGAGAGATCCTCCTGCCTCTGCCTCTCAAGGGATGGGATAAAAGACCTGTGCCACTATGCCCAGCTTTAATTAAATAGCAATTCACAGACTGGAAAATATTCCATTAAAGAGCTGGAGGTGATAGCTATACAGGGATGGCTCAGTGCTTAACAGTGCTTGCTGTTCTTGCAGAATACCTGAGTTTTGTTCCCAGCACCTACATCGAGAGGATGGGTCCTAATGATCAATTACCCATAACTCCAGGTCCAGGGCAATTCCTAACCTTCCTTTGGTCTTGGCAGGTGCCCCCACTCAAGCGCACATACCTACACAAAAGCACATGCATATCCATAATTAAAATAATATCAGCCATGCCAGACTTGGTGGTGCGTGCCTTTAATCTGAGCATTTGGAATACAGTCTGATGTTGTGAGTTCGAGGCCAGACTGGTCCACATAGTGGGTTCCAGGACAGACAGGCTAAATAGTGACACTATTTCAAAAAAATAAAATTAAAAAAGGCATTCGGGGGCTGGAGAGATGGCTTAATGGTTAAGAGCACTGGCTGCTCTTCCAGAGGTCCTGAGTTCAATTCCCAGCACCCACATGGTGGCTCATGGCCATCTGTAATGAGATCTGGTGCCCTCTTTTGGCCTGCAGGCAGACATGCATGCAGAACACTGTATAGGTAATAAATAAATAAATCTTAAAAAAAAAAGTAACAGTTGCTTAAAAAAAAAAAAAAAAAAAGGCATGCGGGTGTGTGTGGAGGGTGGAAGGGAACCCAATGCCAAAGCATTTGCTTAGTTAGCATGCCAGCAGTCCTGGATCCCACCCCTGTCTTCCATATACACAAAATATTAAAATTATGGGCTGGGAGCAGACATGACAGCACATGCCTGGAATCCCAGCATTGGAGAGTCAGAGGCAAGTGGATTTGGAGTACTATATCATTGTGCATTACAGAGAGACTTTAAAGCCAGCCTGGGTAACTTGGTGAGACTCTGTTTCAAAAATAAAGAAAAAGAGGGGCTGGGGGTGTAGCTTATGGGTAGAACAGTGGCCTAGAATCCCCCATTGAAACCAGGGGTGCAGCTAAGATATAGAGTACCTGCCAGAAATCCTCCAGTAACATAAGGGTTTGTCTTTTTCTCACCTAACACCAGCTTGCCAACAGCCAGGGCCAAAGATGCATCTCTTCAGTCAGTCACCCTTTGAGGCACTGCCCATGAGCTGCCAGATGGGGCTTTGGAGCTGACTGCGGTAGCCTGAGGCAGGGGTTCAGCCAGTATGTTCTCCTGGGGGCATGTCAGTTGGGGGTTCCTTCTGTTCACTTTCTGAGTGCACGAACAGGATGCTCAGGTACCTCACATGAAGACATGTGACCTGAACAAATCCCTGTCCCTTTCCCTCTTGAGAAGGGTCTCATGTAGCCTGGGCTGTCCTCCAACTCATTATGTAGACAAAGCTGGCCTTGAACTCACAATCTTTCTTCCTCCACCCCTACTGGGATTACATTATGTCATTACACAGTTTTATGCAGTGTTGGGGATTAAATTGAGGGCTCTGTGTGTAAATTGAACATTCTGTCAACTGCTCTACATCTCCCAGCTCCTGTTTCTTTTCCTTTTTTATTATATGTTAAATTGTGTGTATACATGCATGCATATGTGAGTTACAGGCTTTTGTAAGCTACCTAATGTGGGTGCTGGGAATTGAACTCAAGTCCTCTGCAGTATATGTTCTTTAACCATGTTATCTGAGAGGTGGTACTAATTTTCCTTCTTTTTGAGACAAGGTCTCACTGTGTAGCCCTGACTGTCCTGGAACTCTCTATGTAGACCAGGCTGGCCTTGAACTAATACAGATCTGTCTCAGTGTCTCAAGGGCTGAGATTAAAGACAAGTGCTACCATGCCCAGCTAATTGGTTTTTTTTTGTTTGTTTGTTTTGTTTTTTTGTTTTTTGTTTTTTGTTTTTTGTTTTTTTTTCCCTTTTGGTGGAGATGGAACCAAGAGCCTCATTAATGCTAAGCAAATACTCTACCATTGAGCCACACCCCAGCCCATCACTGGAAGATTCTAAGCAGATGTTCTTTTACTGAACCAGGACCCAACTCAGGAGGTAGATTCTTTCCATTCTGCCATGATTTAGGTCCTATTTCAACATTGAAGCTGTCCACCTTGCTACATAGAACTTGTTCTTTCCTAAACAGCCCACTCTCTACCTTGTATCCCCTCCAGTCATGAGAGGTTAGCCCCTTCTTTTCACCTGAGCTCTCTTGGCTGCCTCAGGGCTGGCCCAGTGCTGACACCATTACAAGACCACTCTTGTTCTGTTGAATTGCAGCACCCTGCCTCCTTTAAAGATGGGGAAACTAAGATAAAGAGGATAAAGTACCACCACACCAGGCTGAGTGAGATCTTAGGGGGTTTTGTTTGTTTTGAAACAGGCTTTCACTAAATAGTTCAGCTAACAAGACCCCCCCCCCCCAGCCCACCTCACCCCCGCGCCCAGTCAGCCTGCCGAATGCCAGATGGTACTGGAGTGCCTTCAGGAGACACACCTGAAGAGTCACTTCAGTTGCAATGTCCCCCTCGCCTGGCCTATTTCAACAGTCCCTAAGTCAACTCTTCCGTGAAGCCTTCCAGCCCCGCCCTCTTGAATTCTCTGTCTCCTAATATGGAACATTCACACAATCCATGCATGGCTGAAACAGAAAATGGAACACACATATGTGCCTAGAGCTGAAGCGCTGGTGGATGACTCTATTTCCAAGGGTCAAGATGGGGAAGACGGGGTTCCAAAGACTTCTTTGCCCGCCCGCTCCCCAGTTTCTGAGCGACACGAATGCTGGAGAACCGTGAGACCACGACTTCTGGGACCGCCCCCAACGCCACTCCCCGCCCCCGTCCCCCCCCCCAACCCCAGTCGCTCGGGGCCCCACCTTCCTGCGCCTGCCGCTACGCCGGCCCCTTTTGTTCGCTCTCCGGCCGCTGAGCTCTCCTGGCGCTCGGCTTCTCTCGGCTGGACTCGGCTCACCTTGGCAGGGCTCCACCGGGCTCGGCTCCGCTCCGTTCGGCTCCTCTCGCCTCCGCCCCGTTCGGCTCGGCTCCTGTCGACTCGGCTCCTCCTGGCTCGGCTCGGCTCCGCCTCGGGGCGCGCAGGCAGAAGCCCGGCTTACTGGATCGGCCCCTCCCTCTATCCTCTTCTGGCCGTAGATCGTGTGCGAGGCCCGGACTCGGAGCACGGAGACCAGGTTTGAGTAGCGGCGTGCGGAGAAGGGCGCAGCATCCTCGTTTCCGGGACGCGCGGACCCAAAGGAGGCGAAGGGGTGTCTGGTCCTGGTCGCTGCTGGAGCTCCAAGGTAGGCGCAGCTCTGGGGACGCGCGCTATGGGGGCGCGCGGGCAACAAAGGACGCAGAGTCGCGGGGGGCGGCGGCACCCTAGCCTGGGAAGAAAAGGGGGCTACTATCACCGAGGCATTGTCGCTGCGTGGGCAGGGATAGCGGGCCGGGGCCGCCGTTGGTGGGCGTGGGCGGGATGAACCCCAACTTCCTCAACCCGGAGGGCGCGCTGCTCGGGTTGGGGGGCGCCCCTGGATTGCACGCCCGGATGGTGCGCACTTCCACAGACTGGGGATCGGGTGTATTTGTTGGGGTCCTCTTTCCAAGAGCAGGTTCAGACAGCTGGACGAGCTGCTGAGAGCTCCTGGGGGAGGCTCTCAGGCTCTCGGGGGTGCGCAGCCTGGTGGGCGCGGCCATCAGTCCTCATCTCCAGACCTGGCATCTGGGATGAAACACCGAGGCCCCCGCCCTGCCACCTGGGGTCGCCTGATTCGTGCCCTTAGCAAAACTTGATTGGAGAGTCTGGCTTGAAATGAGAAGGTAGGGTAAGGGGGAGGCCCAGGCACGGTGCCTTTCCGCAGGGGTGCCCCTCCAAGCTGGCGCTGCTGGCTGGTGAGGCAGCAGATTTTTTTTCCCTCCCCCTAGGGAGGGGCAGTGGCGACGCAGGATGCAGGGCTGAGCCTCCAGGGCCAGCCCGCGTGGACTCTTCTGGCGGGGCCTGTGTGTTTGTCTCGGACACACAGGGCTTTGCCACGCGCGTGCCTCCTCTACAGCTTGGCCCAAGCCTGGAAAGGTCGTTGCAGAGGGACACCTTAGGGGTAGGGGAGTCACAGCACAGGAATGCACCCAGTCTCTGAGATTCCACTCCTGTCTCCTGGGCGGGCGGGGTTCGGGGGATGGTAGAACTAGGGAAGGAATTGGCCTTAATCTTGAAAGGTGCCCAGACAGAGGATGGTGGGGGTGGGGCTGGCCTAGGGCTGTGCCCTGAGGAGGAGGTAGAGAGCACCACGTGGGGCTGAATTACCTGTGCTGCAAGCCAGAGGTCTCCTACCCATCAGTTGTAAAAGTAAACAATGAACCCTTCATTCATAAGGGCTGTCACCTGGATTGGCACCACCTCGGGCTGGCAGGTACACAGAACCGCAACGGCTCTGCCCGGCCCATCTCAGCCTGATGCCCAGAAGCTGGGGTCACGGATGTGACACAGCTGGAGGGTGGGACAGACCCCGAAGGGTGGTTGAGCCCAGTGCCCTACCCAAGGGTGCTTTTTAAGGAGATGGCTCCCACAAACGCTTCTAGACAGAAGACGTTCCAGTTTAGATGGGCAGAGAAAGATTTAGGTTACTGGGGCGTGAAGTTCAAGGCAGACCCTGTTTGCTAGTTCTCTTCCTGCATACAGTAGGTGCCCACTTAGCACAGGACACATGGATCTCAGCAGTGCCCACATTCCCAGCCAGAGACACATCCTGAGGAGCAGAGGTTGCTGTGCACTTGGGTGATTGAGAGTTCAGATGCTGGAGTTTGATATGTGTTCAAATCCTTGCTCTGCTACTTGCATAGCTATGGGGCTTTAGACAAGGTCATATACCTCTCTCTCCATTCCTTCCATCAGTAAAACAGGGGTACTTAGGGCATTTGCCTCTTAGGGCTTCTGAGAAAATCATGTACCCTAGGACAGAGGGTTTTTTTGTTTTTTTTTTTGTTTGTTTGTTTTGTTTTGTTTTTTTGTTTTTTTTTTTTTTGTGATTTTACTTATTTATATATTTAGTAGCTTGGGGAATTGAACTTAGGACTTCATGCATTCTCTGGCTGAGCCATGCCCCTATCCTCTTACTCTGAGAGTCTAAGCAAATGCTTCAAATATCAAGTCCTGCCCTTAGCTCCTCACTGGGGGATTCTAGACAGGTGCTCTACCACTGAGCCACACTCCAGCCCCTCACTGGGGGATTCTAGGCAGATGCTCTACAATTGAACCACACTCCATGAGATTCTAGATAAGAGCTCCACCACTGAGCTACATTCCCAGTTGAAGAAGGGGTATTTCTTGCTACAGGAAGTGACCCTCAGCCTGGGGCAGAAGACTTCTCCCCTGCTCTGGTTGCCCTCTACCTTCACACAGCTTAGCCTTTTAGACCTGCCCCAGGGCCTGCTCTTTTCTATCTCCCTTCATCCAGCTTTCTGCTTTCCTTCATTGATGGTAAAGCATTGTAAAATCCTCTCATCCCTAAGTTTTTCTTGTTACCACCTGGGAGACAGACTCTGTGATTGCCAGTCTTCTCTCTGGTTCTGCAACTGCACAACTTTTCCCAAAGAGGGACCTTTGTACAGGTCTTCTTATTCTGGGCCAGGAATATTTGGTTCTGCTCCCCCACCCCCTTTTGAGTTCAGGTCTCACTGTGTAGCCCAGACTGGCCCGAACTCATAGATGTTTGCCTGCCTCTGCTTGCTGAGTGCTGGGACTAACAGCATGCACCGCCATGCCCAGTGGTTCTGCCCTTTGTATGTACATGCATTCATTTGTTGGTTTTTGCATTATTTTGAAGATCTCTTTTTGTCTTTATTTATGGGACCGTATGCTGTGGGTGTGCAGGTCCAGCACAGAGGCCAGGATAGAGTTTGGGATTCCCTGGAGCTGGAGTTACAGCAGTTGTGAGCTGCCCAATGTGGGTCCTCCGAAACAGCGGTAAAAGCTCCCAACCCCTGAGCCATCTCTTTAGCCCCTGCTTTGTTTATTGGAGACAAAGTCTCATCTGTCCCAGGCTTGCCTTAGATTTATAGAGTCCCGGCCTTGAATTTTTGCTCCTCCTGCCTACAACTCCCCAGCAGCTGGGGTGACAGGTGTGCCACCCTCCAGGGTTATATGGTGTTGGGGATAGACTCAGGGCTCATCCATGTTAGGCCAGCACTTCACCAAACGAGGCACAACCCCAGCTCTGCTTTTGTGTTTTCATTTTGGTTATTATCCTTTTCTTTTTAAGACAAGGTCTCATGTACTTCAGGCTGGCCTCAGAGTTAATATGTGGCTGGTCTTTTACCAGTGGATGACAGGTATGCACCACCGTGTGCTTTGTCCATGCATTGTGTGTCTGAGGGGCGCACCGTCTTCTGTAAAGACAGTTTACCCTGCTCCCAGATCTGCTTCTCCAAAGCATAATTACAGTTGTGCTGACACCTCCACTCCTCTTGTTCAGTACAAAGTCTAAGCACTATCTGGCTTTTGGAGCCCATATAATTGTCTGGGCCTTGCCTTGTATGGAACTGGCTCTCCTCTGAATCTCTGTCTCTGTCTTGTCTGTCTGTATCTCTTTTCTTTCCTCTCTCTCTCTCTCTCTCTCTCTCTCTCTCTCTCTCTCTCTCGATGGCCAGACTTCACATACCTCCACTGAGGTCACCTCAGTTCTCTTTATTAGCTGAAGTAATAGGCATGGCTTTTTGAACCCAGCTGTTATAGAAGGGACACAGAGTTGAAAGAGGGTTCCCTTTGATGCCCATTGTTGGGAGTTTTTGTTGTTTTGAGACAGAATCTCATGTAGCACAATTTTGCTGCATCCTGAGGCTAGCCTGCATCAAGAGGCTAGCCTGATTGTCTTTTCCAAGCAAGTCCTGGGGTTACAGGTGTGTAACACCATGGCTGGTGTGGTGTGTGTGTGTGTGTGTGTGTGTGTGTGTGTGTGTGTGTGAATTCTGTCTTCCTCAATCACTGTCCATTTTATGTTTTATTTATTTTGTGTTCATGTGGTTATGGGTGGGTATGTATATGCATGGCTACATATGGAGGTCAGAGGACAATTTGCCCTGATCAGGTCTTTCAGTCTGCCATGTGGATCCCAGGGGTTAAAGTCAGGTCGTCGGTCTTGGTAGCAAACCCCTTTACCCACTGAGCCATCTTGCTGGCCCTTCACCCTATTTTTGAGACAGGGCATCATACTTAACCTGGCCCTCACTGACTCAGTAAGGCCGGCTAACCATCTAGCCCCACGGTCCTCCTGTCCTCCCAAGTGCTGCAGTCACAGGCACAAGCTGCTCTTTGACATGGATGCTGGGGATTGGAGCTCCGGTCCTCATGTTTGTGTGGCAAACAATTTGCTGAGGGAACCACCTCCATAGCCCCACTGTGTCTGGCTTCTCTTGAGAAAGTTTTGTCCCGGGGATCACAGCCTCATTCGGTTAAGTAAAGGGAGACCTCAGCCACATTTGTCTGTTGTGTATTTATTTGTGTGCTTGTGTTTGTGTGCACGCATGTGCGTGCTTATGTGCACTCCCACATACTATGGTATGCCTGTGGAGGTCACAGAACAGCTTTGGAAAGTTGTTTCCCTTTCTACCAGGTGGGTGCTGGGGATCGAACTGAATTCATCAGACCTGGAAGCCAGTACTCTCCCCTCTGAGCCATCTCACTGTCCTGCCAACTGCAAAAGGACATTTCAGAGTAGGAGAATGAAACTTAGAAGAATTACAGGGGCCAGGGCCACCCTAGCCCCTGGAGGGTGCAGCCGGCCGGCAGCCCAGCTCCTCTTGTTTCTCTCTGGATGTTGGTTTCATTTTCTCTACCCTTAAATTAACCTGGCCTCTCTGCCTCATCTTTTCCTTGACTCATGAGTATGGCCTGGCCCAGTGTGACCGTTCCAAATGCTGGTTTCAGCTCCTGTTTATAGGCTTCTCCTGGTGGTATCCCCCTTAGTCCTGGGTTGCCAGAGAGACCGAATGAGGGGGCTATCCCATCTGCTCAGCTGGTGGTAGACTGGGGCTGGGAATAGCTGGTATAGTCTGTCAGTCAAGTTTTTTGGTGCATGAAGGGGTGTGTGTGTGTGTGTGTGTGTGTGTGTGTGTGTGTGTGTGCGTGCATGCATGTGTCTGTGTGTGTGTGTCTGGAGAACTGGGGGAGGGCATGGCTGTGCATAGGAGCTGGTGGCAATGATTGGGGAGGCAGAGTGGTGGACAGTTTTCACTGTGTGTCACCAGGTACTGTGTGGTGTTCCAGTCCACAGCACTGTGACTTAGGTAAACCTTCTCAGCCTTGGCCCAGGAGGAGGGGACGCCCTCTCCTCCTGAGAGCTGGATACTGGAGGTGGGTCCAGCTGCAGCACCCATTGTGTTCCGAGGCCCTAGAGCCTCCGTTGATCCCATCTGCCTGGTCTTCACAGTGAGACACGAACTGTAAGGGTTGCCTTCCAGAGTGCTGAGAAAGGCTAATGTCTTTCAGAGCAGGAGGCTGAAGAAGCCATAAATACAGGGCTTGCCCTGGTCTCTGCCCTACAGCCTTGCAAGATAGGTGTGAGCTTGGCAGCTGACCCACACTTCTTGCACCCCACTAGAGGATTCTAGTTGGGCACTCACCACAGTTTCATGTCCCCCACCTCTCTCGGGGGAATAGTAGGAGGGTGCTCTGCCAGCAAAATGCACCTCCAGCCCAGATGATAATCGTTGGATTTTTTTTTTCTT